AGGTATGTTCCTGTTATTCAGGATCTCTCCAAGACCTTTATCATGAAGGGATGTTGGATTTTGTGAAAGGCTTTTTCAGCATATAGCGAGATGATCATGTGGTTTTTCTTTTTCAGTTTGTTTATATGGTGGATTACATTGATGGGTTTTCGTATATTGAACAATCCCTGCATTCCCGGATAAAGCCAACTTGATCATGGTGGATGATTTCTCTGATGTGTTTTTGGATTCGATTTGCCAGTATTTTGTTGAATATTTTTGAGTCGATGTTCATGAGGGATATTGGTCTGTAATTCTCTTTTTTGTTTTGTCTTTATGTGGCTTGGGTACCAAGGTAATTGAAGCCTCATAAAAAGAGCTTGGCAATGTTCCTTTTGCTGCTATTGTGTGGAACATTTGAGGAGTACACAGGTATTAGCTCTCCTTTGAATTTCTGGTAAAATTCTGCAGTGAATTCATCTGGCCCTGGGCTTTTTTTGGTTGGTAGATTTTTGATGACTGCTTCTATTTCATTAGGGGTTACAGATCTCTTTAACTTGCTTATCTGTTCTTGATTTAATTTTGGTAAGTGATATCTATCCAGAAAATTGTCCATTTCCTTTACATTTTCAAATTTTGTGGAGTACAGGTTTTCAAAGTATGACCTAAAGATTCTCTGGATTTCTCAGTGTCTGTTATTATGTCCCCCTTTTCATTTCTGATTTTGTTAATTAGCATGCTCTCTCTCTCTCCCTTTTGGTTAGTTTGGATAAAGGTTTGTCTATCTTGTTGACTTTCTTGAAGAACCAACTCTTTGTTTCATTGAGTCTTTGTAGTGTTTTCCTAGTTTCTACTTTACTGATTTCAGCCCACAGTTTGATTATTTCCTGACATCTACTCCTCCAGGGAGTGTTTGCTTCCTTTTGTTCTAGAGCTTTCAGTTGAGCTGTTAATTCTCAGTGTGACTAATCTCCAGTTTCGTCATGTGGGCATTTAGTTCTATGAACTTTCCTCTTAGCACTGCTTTCAAAGTGTCCCATAGGTTTGGGTATGTTGTGTCTTCATTCTCATTGAATTCTAGGAAGTCTTTAATTTCTTTTTTTTATTTCTTCCCTGACCCAGGAATGGTTCAATTGCACATTATTTAACTTCCATGAGTTAGAAGGGTTTCTGCAATTTGTGTTGTCGTTGAATTCTAACTTTAAAGCATGGTGATCTGATAAGATACAGGGGGTTATTCCAATTTTTTGTATCTGTATAGTTTTGCTACATTGCTAAGTATTTGGTCAGTTTTAGAGAAGGTTCCATGTGGCGCTGAGAAGAAGGTATATTCTTTGGTGTTAGGGTGGAATGCTCTATAGATATGTGTTAAACCCAATTGGGTAATAACATCTGTTAGTTCTTTTGTTTCTTCATTAAGTTTCTGTCTGGTGGTCCTATCTAGTGGTGAGAGTGGGGCGTTGAAGTCTCCTACTATAAGTGTGTGAGGTTTTATGTTTAATTTGAGCTTTAGTAATGTTTCTTTTACAATTGTGGGTGCCTTTGTATTTGGGGCATAGATGTTCAGGATTGAGACTTCATCTTGATGGGCTTTTCCTGTTATAAGTATGAAATGCCCTTCTTCATCTCTTTTGATTGACTTTAGTTTGGAGTCTAATTTGTTAGATATTAGGATTGCTACACCAGCTTGTTTCTTGGGTCCATTTGATTGGAAAATCTATTCCCAACCCCTTATTCTGAGATACCATCTGTCTTTGAAGTTGAGATGTGTTTCTTGTATGCAGCAGAAGGCTGGATTCTGTCTTCGTATCCATTCTGTTAGCCTGTATCTTTTTATAGGCAAGTTAACACCATTGACATTGAGGGATATTATTGACCATTGATTGTTGATTCTTGTTTGTTTTGGACTTGGTGGTGGTGGTGTTATTGTGTGTGGATTTCCCCACTTTTTTTGGTATTTGGTAAAGTGGGATTATCTATTGCCTATGGTTTTCTGAGCGTAGTTATCTTCATTACATTGGAGTTTTCCTTCCATTAATTTCTGTAGGGCTGGATTTGTGGATATGTATTGCTTAAATCTGGATTTGTCATGGAATATCTTGTTTTCTCCATCTATAGATATTGAAAGTTTTGCTGGATACAGTAGCCTGAGCTGACATGCATGTTCCCTTAGAGTTTGTAGAACTTCTATCAATGATCTTCTGGCTTTCAAAATTTCCATTGAGTAGTCGGGTGTAATTCCGATAGGTCTGCCTTTGTATGTTACTTGGCCTTTTTCTTTTGCTGATCTTAATATTTTTTTGTTTATTCTGTAAGTTTTGATTGTCATGTGGTGATGGGACTTCTTTTTGTGGTCCAATCTATTTGTGTTCTGTAAGCTTCCTGGATTCTCATAGGCATATCCTTCTTTAGGTTAGGGAAGTTTTCTTCTATGATTTTGTTGAATAAGTTTTCTGTACTTCTTTGCCTTCTTCTATACCTATTATTCTTAGGTTTGGTCTTTTTACGGTATCCCATATTTCCTGGATATTTTGTGTTAGGGATTTGTTGGACTTGAGATTTTCTTTGGTCGATGACTGTATATCTTCTAATGAGTCTTCCACACCTGAGATTCTCTCTTCCATCTCTTGGTATTCTATTGGTTATGCTTGCATCAGTGGTTTCTGATCATTTACCCAGCTTTCCTATTTCTAGCATCCCCTCATTCTTTGTTTTCTTTATTGTTTCTAATTGTGCTTTCAAACCGTGAACTGTTTGAATTGTTTCCTTCACTTGTTTGGTTGTTTTTTCTTGGTTTTCTTTAGATTCTTTAAGGGAATTGTTTGTTTCTTGAATTTTTTGGTTTGTCTTTTCCTCCATTTCATATAATTTTTGCTTGATTTTTCTTCTATTTCTTTAAGGGATTTTCTTGTTTCCTCTTTAATGCTTTCTATCATCTTCATAAGATAATTCTTAATGTCTATCTCTTCTTCATCCTCTACGCTGAGCTTTTCAGTTCTTGCTGGCATGGAGTCCCTAGATTCTGGTGGTATCATATTGCTATTTCTGTTGTTGGTTGTGTTCTTACTCTGTCATCTTCCCTTCTTCCAGTGGGTGCAGGTGGGGTCTCTCTGTCTCAGGAGGCAGGTGGAAGGCTCAGGCTCAGGCGGCAGCTGGAGGGCAGAGGGCAGTGGGTGGACAAGGGTAAGGTGTGTCTGGACTCAGGGTGGCCATTCCAGTCTGGGCAGGTACACTCTTGTGTTTTTTTTTTTAACATGACTTTTGCATTTTTAGTGTAATTATTGCAAATTTGTTAAGAGTTCCTTTTAAAATATTATTTATTTTAGATTTCAGTGCACGCACACGCGCACACACATATACAGGAGAGTATTTGTGTGAATCCTCACTAGATCCTCCCTGCTTGTTGGTGCTGTCTGTTGAACAGAACAGTTCTAGGATGTTGTGTCTTCTGCTGTTAGAGAAAGTCGAGGAGACCAGAGGCCATAGGAGTGCTGGGAGACACCTGCCTGATGAAGGGGAGAGATCAGGCTCCAAGCAGGTCACAGACAGAGACCTTTTCCTACGAATGAGTCAGGGCTGTGGTTTGACTTGGGAGAATCTGTGATCTAATACCCATCACTGTTGTGTGAAGGGCCCAGTGAGGACACGGGGACATGAGTGAGGACTGTTTTCACAGGTGGCAGCTCCCCTTTCCATGACAAGTGCAGCTTTACTCCAGGAGCCTTTCCTGAACACCCAGGCTCCATGCTGAGTTCACCACGTGTTCTATGATGCCTCCGTTCCCTGTGTGTTCAGTAGATTTTCAGTTCCAGGACCAGAGATACTAACTGATATATTTTATTCCTCAACATTTGATAGGATTCACTAAAAGTACTTTGAGATAAAACCTCCTGGTGACACTGTGTGTACCTCAGGAACCCTACTACCAATCTAAGAGTCAAAAATGGCACAGAAATAGGGTTCAGAAGCTGGTGGACATCTTGACTAGAGGCCTTGACTTCCTGCCCTTTTGCCAGTGAGAATGAATATGATGTCACAGAACCACGATTCCTACTTCGTACCTCACAGTCATGTGTCTCTCACAGATACACACTCTCTTAGATGCCACTTCAGTATCAAGTTTCTTCCCAAAGATGGAGAGAAAGGTTGGGAAGGACAGTGCACAGTGGATGGAGTGTCGTTACCTCAGGATAGTAACAGGGGAAAGGTGGTAAATGCTACTGAGATATGTGAAGGGATGAGGAAGGAGCTATTGAATAAGCCCCCAAACACAGTTCCATCACCACATTTTGGTATTTGTAGAGAAGTGGGAACAGGAACTATAACTACAGTGACAACCTCTGTCAAGGAATAGTCTACACCATCTGCCAGAAGAAAATGAAGGACTCAAATGAATCTTGAAAACTGAATTGTTCTTTAGGACATCAAGGGAACAGGAAAAGACAGAATGTAGAAACATACCATTAACTCAGAAATGCCAGTCTGAATACTGAGGAGTGTCTCAGGGTAAGAAAGTAGAGAACAAATTTTCAGAACTTACAAGCACTATTGGGCATGATGGCTGAGAAGGTAAAAGCCTTTGTCTCCTAGCATGATTCGCCAGATTGTTTCTTCTCAACTTAACACAAAGCGAAGATCATCTGAGAGAAGGGAACCTCTACTGAGAAAATGCCTCTATGGGATCAGAATATTGGTTTGTGGGCAAGCCTGGAAGGCATTTTCTTAAGTAGTGGTTGATTTGGGAAGGCCCAGGCCATTGTGGGTGATACCACCCCTGGTCATATGATCCTTGGTGCTATAAGAAAGCAGGATGAGTGAGTCATGAAGAGCAAGCCAGCAAGCTGGGGTTTTCCATGGCCTCTGCATCAGCTGTTGCCTTCAGCTTCCTGCCCTGCTTGAGATTCAGCCAAGTTACCCATGGACTGGGGATGTATAAACCAAATAGAACCATTCCTCATCAAGCTGCATGAGTCATGGTGATTCATCACTGCTACAACAACCCTAAGTAAGACAGAAGACAACTGAGTTCCAGCCTCAGAACCCAGTAACTGGAGTAGACTTCACTGGAAAAGGTCACAGATCTGCAAGAGGCTCAAAGGAATAGATCAGAGGAGATTCTGTACATGGAGCATCTTAACTCTGCTCAGGTGAAACCACAGTGGGAGGCCTTGTAGCTTGACTGCAATTGGACTTGTGAGAGATTAATAGGGTTCAATTCACAGTTTCTAGTAGCCTTTTATCCTCTGGGAGGATGTTAAGATAGATCCAACCTGCCATATTAGTGAGAGGAGGCCACTGAAAAGGATTGTTTGGCTGAGAACTCCAGATGCCCTTGATTGTCACCTGTTAGTGAGTCTCAGGATCTAGTAAGAGTCCCTGCCAAAGGAGGGCTGCAGACTGAGCATCCAAAAAGTGTAACATGGATAACAGTGGGCAGAACTAGAGTCTTGAGTGTGAGCTTAGTAAGATCACTCAAGAGTTAGATAATCTGATAGGGACAAGGGAAGGGGGCATGCTAGAGAGGGAGAGTGAGGTCAGTGCAGAAGAACGTGGGAGGCGGGTAAAGGGGAAATCAGATTGATACAGTTGATCTGATAGGGCAATATGGAAAATGAGGTCTCCTGAGAGAAGGGGGAGAGAGGTAAATACAGGAGAAGACAGAGGGAGGTAAAATAAAAATGTGACGGGTGGAAAAGCCAGGAGGATTCATACTGTTAACTATTTACCTAAAAAAATATAACAAATGTAATTCAGTGTATGACTGTACATATATAGCTTTAATGATCTTTTTTTCATTTGGACTGATGGCACTCCCACCAAACAAACCCCAATAGCAAGCAAGAGAACAACACCTTTTTGAATGGTTGCACAGGGCTCTCCAACAGGCTGTCAAGAGGCTCCCAGAACATACAGCCTACTGCTGTTGCCCTTGTTTATCCCCAGAGGTGGAAGGTAAGTTCTTATTGCTGAAGACATCATGCACTTTAGAAAGGGGGTCCAGAGGCCCCTGAACTGGAAGTGACCTAAAGTCTCCTTCCTGGGATACTAGCTTTCAAGATTCCAAAACGTGCCATGCATGCTTCCAAAGGAAAGACACAGCCAACAGTGACACCCAGCTATAATGCCTATGACTACATCAATGAACAGCAAGTCACAGTAACCCTAAAGGTGCTGTAGTGTCACACATACCTGGGTGGTAACCAGCAGCTCTCTCATGGAACTTAAGACCTGCTCAGCAAGAGGGATAGCATGCTTGGTACTGGAAACCTAGCCAACTAATCAGTGCTGAAGTCGTGGTTTTTGAGGAGAATCTATAACCACTAATTTACTAAACCAGCATAATCTCTAACAACAATGTATAAACTTTTGTCCTTAAACACTGGTTAAATGTATTCTTCACCCCCATGAAAGAAACTTCTCTTTACAAAGGATGGAGACCACTACAGAAAACCACAACCCATCAATATACAGTGTGGTGCCCCCCCCCAGTCCCAAGGGATACACCTTCAAAACACTCCCACACCTAAGGGTCATGGGAAAATGCAGAAGAGGGGATGGAATTCCAACATGGATCCTCTGGAAGAGCAGTCAGTGTTCAGAACATCTGAGCCATCTCTACAGGCCCCAGAAGCTGCTCATAATTGAATGACTTTGTGATTGCAGAACTTCCCTAAAGGTCTTAGGTGCAGTGTCACAGAGTTAAGGAGAAAAGCACAGCCTTGCTGCCAAGACAGTGATTATCTTTGTGTGGGGGTGGGGAGGGTAAAGGAAGGAGATGGTCTCAGGCCAAAAAAAAAAAAAAAATGACTTCAGGGGAAGTACAAGACATCAGAGCCCTGTTGGTGCCTGGGAGGGACCAGGAGATTAAGGAGCCTGGGGATTGGATTGCATCATGCCCTCACCAAGTGTGTTCTCCACAGTCATGCTGACTCTCAGTGTCTGCAGGGTAGCCACTGAGAATTTACAGAGAGGTGTCTGGCACTTTGTGCATCTTTGAGGGATCCTCTGCAGGGCAGCACTTCTCTCCCAGGCCCAGGTTATTAAATGTGTTGCTCAGATATGGCAAACAGTGCAGCCTCCCACCATTCTTTTTCCACCAAGACTCTGCTTTTCCATTCTACTGATCTCTCTGTGGTCCATACTATACCCTGGTGAGTTGCCGTGGTCTAACTGGAGGGGTGCGGGGAGATGGGTGGGGAGGGAATGGACTTTTGAATCATGGGGTAGTCATCCTCCTTGACGCTCCCCGATCCTCTGAAAAGCTGCTCAGAGCACAGTCCTGCGCTCTGCCCCTACCAAGCCCAGCAGAGTAGCAAGAAATTTACAGGTTGGGTCCAGTCAGGAGGGCAAGATGCTTGAGGGGAATCTCTGTGAAGCCATGAGCATTCAGTCATCTTGGTCCCAACAGAAAGCCTAAACTGACTCATGAGGTCCAGAGGTAAGAGGCATAGTGCAAGACCTCACAGAGGGGCTCAGACAGCTCCCTTGGATTTTAGGCAGTCTTTGCTCTGGAAACTGTCTTCCCAGGGTATTCCTCACAAGCGCTCCACCTCCACCTTTCCTGAACCTCTTTGACCTCAAACTTTCTTCCACACCCCATTTCTCCAGAGGATCATGATAGATGCTTCCAGGGACAAGGCAGCCCCAACTGCCCTCGGTTTCACTATTTTCCCTTTTGTTCTTACTGTTTTGTTTTTGTTTTTGTTTTTGTTTTTGCACGATTCCACACTAAAGAATTTGCAGCAATCCCTTCTCTCCCTAGGTCTGTCAAGCGCTGGGATTAGAGATTTGTAGCACCAAGCTCAGCTTTGATCCCATCTGACTCTTCCACCAGCTCCCTTCCCTGCCTTTCCCACTCTCCCATCCAATAAGTGTCGTTCAGTCCCTTTCCACCAGGTGACACTCTGTGGATTAGCACCCCTGATCAGTTAATCAGGGGTGACTATAATGGATCCTGGCAATGGCACTGGGTGGGTTTATGTGGAAGATTCTGCCCTTGGCCAACAGGCCCGTGTGTCTACCTCCTGGGGAGATGACATCTGACAGAATTGTTGATTTAGGCAGGAGTGGGCTGTCTTTTATCTTTTTTTTCTGAAAATGGCAGGCACTAAATATCCTCCACCTGGCAAGCCTCACTTTATCTGTTCTGCATCAAATACTCAACTGCATTTAGTGTGACAGACTCAGAAGGCAACAAGCTGATGAATGGGACAGCAGATTTGCCCTCCATCATTCTTCTGACTTAGATTAGGGTGTATCCAATGTGCAAGTATTGAAACCCATCCTCCTGAGTATCTTTAAATGTAATGCCAAAGATGAATATTTTCCAGTCAGCATTGGGTTCTATACTGCCTATGACTTCTGGGTCAGCTAGAACAACAGGAGGAGGTCCATGGTTTGGGGCTTAGATTTCTTATTCAGCCAGAGACCACTTGTGCATTGATGGTGATGCCCACAGTGGCTGGACATTCCTACATCATTGACAGTAAAAACAATGCCTCAACAGACACACACTTCTTAAATACTCTACAATGTATCAAACTGATGGAGCTAACCAGCAAAGAGGTTCAAGTCTTTATTTTCATTCATTCTTCCTTCCTTTATTTTTCATTCCTTTCTTCATTAGTTCCTTTCTTTCTTCCTACTTTTCATCCATTCCCTACTTGCTTTTTATTTACAGAATTATCCCAGGACATTCTTGTCCCAATGGCAGAGAGACTATCCCTGAGCCCCTGCTCCACATCCTGACCTCACTGCATGTTTCCTTCACAGATGCTGCTTCTCTTTGCTACATCCTCACTCTTGACAAATCTGAGTCTGCACCATGGGGATTCAAAGTCCAGGGCCAACTGAACCAAGAGACTTTCCTTTCCTACAACAGTGTCAACAACTGTCATGTGTTTGGTGTTCTGGGGAACAGAATGAATGCCACAAAGATCTGTGACAAACAAGTTGACACTCTGATAGATGGAGCTGAGCTGATCAAGCAGCAAGTGATTCGAATGAATAATATAATCAGAGGTAAGTTTCAAATGGCCGGGGATGATCTAGCACAGTGGTAGAGTGCTTGCCTAGCATGCATGAGGTCCTAGGTTCAATCCCCACTGCTACAAACTAAATAAAAGAACTTATTACATGATCCCATGTAGGAAAGAACAGGATCTGTGGCATATTGAGGACATTCATTGTTTTCTTAGAGGAAAAAAACACGAATGATTGGTAGTCCCACCTAAGAGGTCCAGCAGAAAGGCTAAAATGTGCAGGGAAAAACAAGGTCAGAGACTAAAAAGGGAGGAGAGTAGGTTGACAGGATTAAACAAGGTCAGAGGCTGATCTCTTTCCAATGGGCACAGAGCCCCTCACTCTGCAGGCCAAGATGCATTGTTGGCATGATGCAGATGGACATTTCAATGCATCCTGGGACATTGACCTCAATGGACAGAACATTCTGCATCTGGACTCAAGCACTGGGAAACTGACTGAAGTTGGTCCTGGATCCAGCTGGATTAAAGAGCTATGGGAGGAAGACAGGGATGTGACTGCCTTCTTAACAGTGACCTCACAGGGGACTGTGGGCCCTGGCTTCAGGGGGTCACGTTGCACTGTGAAGAAAAGCTGCAGCCTACAGGTAACTGGAAGAATGGAAGGAAGCTCTCTGCAGACGTGTGTGTGTGTGTGTGTGAGTGTGAGTGTGTGAGTGTGTGTGTGTGTGTGAGTGAGTGTGTGTGTGTGTGTGTGTGTGTGAGTGTGTGTGTGTGTGTGTGTGTGTGTGTGTGTGTGTGTGTGTGTGTGTGTGATAATCTAATCACATGGAATTCCTGGCTGGTGGCCACTTTTTACATTATTCAGTCTGGTTCTCACCTTCTGCTATGTCCCTAATTTTGATTACATTGTTCACTCACTGTGGTTCTCAATGGCTGTCACAGATTAAGCATCCCTTTACTTCCTGTCCTTTTCCTCATTCTAGAATCACTGTTGCTTTTCATTTCACCTGATCCTCCTTCTTCCCTGACACCATCCTCAGAGGACATCCATCCTCATGACTCCTCTCCTGGCAGCAGGAAAGATGATGGCCCACAAGCACCCTGCTTCCCCTACCATGGCTGCATGGGTCTTTTGAGGGAAGGGGACATCCCTCTCCCTTCCCACTCAGGACCAACCCAAACAGTTGTTGCAGAACAACAGGCGAGTAACTCTGTTGGTTGATGAATGACCTGAGGACCCAGAAGCTAAAATGAGATTTCTTCAGATTTGAGGTCTGGTCAAAGACTAAACTTATGTTTCCAATTCAGCCTCACCAAATGGTATTCCTGATGTGGACCAACCGCCTTTGTCACTGGCCATCAAGCCCAACATCTCTGTCCTGGTGATAATCCTCACCTGCTCCCTCCTGCTTCTTAACTGAGGAGAAGCCTTGACAATGACAGGTACTGAGGACAGTGTTGGGAGTGGGGTGAGGGAATGACGGGTGAGGAGTGAGGAAGCAGAGGGAATTCCTGAAGTCCTACTCTTGTCCCTCATCTATAGCATCTCATTGAGAAAGGAGGCGGGAGACCTGGAGCTCATGTCACCTGCTAGCAATAGCTTGTGCATGCTTGGCCTCGACTCAGCAGGAATCAGGTCACAGAGCAGTGGGGAATGAGGAGGCAACACAACATGTACCTAAACACAGCAGGCTCCTAATTGGGAGGTTCCCATGGTACAGATGAGGAGAAGCAGGAACATAAAAGAACATGGTAGTTCACCTCAATGTGTAGAGGGAAGAAGATTCCAACCCAAAGTTACAGATAAAGACAATACAAATAAAGAGATGGCCCAGTGGCAAAGCCACATGTTGTTCATGTATCAACACAGGGTTCAATTTCCAGCACCCACATGGCAGCTCACAGCCATTCAGCTCCATCTCCAGGGGATCCTGCCCCTTCTTCTGTACAGACACCAGGCATCCTCACTGTGCACTTACAGACTTGCAGGCTCACACTCATACACATAAAATAGAAATGGATTGAGCAGCAGCAGCTCCCAGAACCCCTTAAGCAGTGTCCCCACTGGATGCTAGTGGGACTGAGCTGCTGCTGGGGTCAATGCTGTCATCTGAGCTGCCCAGATGGACAATGTGGGGCAGAGACAGACACACAAGTGTGATGCCACTCTCATACGTTGAGAGTTGTAGAACAAAAAGAAAAGCATGTCTGGAACCACACTCAAGGAATGGATCACCAGGTCCCAGGGCCCTTGCTGCTCCTCCAGCCCCTCCCATCAGGCTCTGAGTCAGGAAGCAGAGCTAGTCATTACCACTTTATTCTGAACTTCCAGGTCTGCAGCACAGTCTGGGGCTGACTCTGGGACATGCGAAAGGAGGAGGAAAACTGTAGAGGATCCAGGGATGGAGAGCCCAGGGGTGATGGAGGAGGGAGTTAGATGACCCTCAGTGACGGTGGCTGTGGGGTTGTGTTGATTGGTGCAGGGCACCCAGGAGAACTGACCCAGGCTCTCCCCAGACCCTTCAAAATGAGTTTCCTTTCTGTAGGTTGAAGATGCTGCAGTGAATGTCGTGAGAGCTCATCTGGTGCAGCCCCTCTCCCTTTTCATCAGCCCCAACCAGATGAGTCTTGATGCTGCCAACATAGTATTTCATGTTCTTTCACTCTGTGCAGGCCGCTCGGGCCCTTTCTTATCTCCTTGTACTGTTTCCTTTGTGCTCCCTGGTGGGATTTGCTCTTCATGGAACCACTTGAATTAGAAAACTGGAAAAGAATGTAGTTATTACCCAACCCTAGCCTAGGAAACAGGACACCTAGATCTCCTTAGTGAGAGTGTGAAGTTATTACTCCTGTGTAAATAACTTATTAGTACAGAGGTCAGTGTGAGACAGACCAGGAAGACCCCACACTCCCCAAGATATTCGACTTCGAGTTAAATTCTGTTAAGAATATTAATTTTGTAATAGGTGTTTTTATAACCACAACTATACTATGTAGCCTTCTCTAGAACAAAATAAGAAAGGTACATTTTTATATGAGTATATATGATAGAAACGGATATTTCATGACATAAGATGTGGTGGTTTATAATATTATCACTACTATAGATGAGTTTCTGTGACATGCACTAGGCAGTCCAGCAATGCCCACATGCACACTGGGATGCTCAGTCCTGCACGCTGGCTGCCCTGCAGTGACAATCAGCAGTGAAAGCTGGGAGGGCCTGGAAAGCTGGTGCTGCTGGGTGCACATCCTCCTGATGCAGGTTCTGGGTCAGTGCTGCCTCCACTTCACTCAGAGAAGTCTCTCTGCACATCCAGACCTGTGATGGAAGGAGAATAAACTCACACAAATGTCCTCTGACTCCACATGCGCACTTTTGCACAAGTGCACTAGCATTCACTCACTCACTCACAGAGAGAGAGAGATTAAAAATAAATAAAAAGTAAAATAAAATGAGGACCCTAAAATATGCAAAGTATAACATGTATAAATTCACTGCTGAAAACTGTTTGAAGCATGGTCTTACTGTATAGACCAGGCTGGCCTGGAACTCACAGAATTGCACCTGCCTCTACCTACCCAGCATCAGGCTTAAATGTTTGTGCCACAAACTTTGCCTGATCCTTGTATTTTTCGCTCTAATGGTATGTTATTAAAGTATTAGGACTTTAAAATTGACTGTTTCACACAAACTAATTTGTAAACTACAGTGGCATTAAGTAGACTGGCAATAATCTAATCTCTCAGGTATCACTAATGGAAACTTGCAACAGCTAACCACAGGAAACAGAAATAGAGAACTAGTTGTTTAGTAGAACTCACTGAAAACACATGCCCAGACGTTAGCACGACTGACTCCATGATGGAAAATACATTCAGGCTGTAAAACTCAGCACATAGACAGCACCACCTGCCAAAACTAAAACAAAGGACTAATCCATCCAAGTACATGGTTAAGGGCAAGTTTCTGAGTGTGCTAACCTTGCTTTTTAACTTCTGTAGTTCTGCTTCTGACTAACTGTTCTTGTTAACTGAAGTTTGTCAGCAAATACTGACAAGCTAATAAAGAGTTGTTATTGACTTAAATCCAGATTTGAGCTGTCTTCTCTGTTGAATACCCCACAACATTGCTGGAAGTCCTATGGAGATCCCAGAGCAAGTCCTCAAAGCACTGGATGTCTCAGAGCCCCCTGTAGCAGGTAAGAATGTGATGGCCAAGGAGCTCCTAGGGCTGTGAGTCTGAACCCCTTGGGGGTTGAAATGCCCTTTCATAAGGGTCACACACCAGATACCCTGCATATCAGATATTTACATTATAATTCATAACAGGAGCAGAATTACAGTTACAAAGGAAAAACTGTAAGTAACACTGGAATCTAAGACCTTCAGTAAAGTTCTGCAATTACAAAACATCTTCCAATTAAAAGCAGCTTCTGGGTCCTGGAGAGATGACTCAGGTTAAGAGCACCCACAACCTCTTAACCATGTTGGATTCCCAGCACCCACACAGCCCACAACCTTCTGTAACTGCAGTCCCAGGGGATTCATGGAGGCTCCTGGCCTCTATGGGCACTGCACACACATGGTGCAGAGAAACACACAGAGATAAAGCACTCACACACATCACATAAAAATAAATATTTCTATGTTTTAGAAGACGGTGTTTACATAGGAAAAGTCCAGATCTTTGGTAAAAAATTTTTGAATTCGCTTTTACTTTTTTAAAATAGTATTTTTGTAGGTGAACTGTATGTTTGTGAGTGGGTGTGTGTGTGTGGGTGTGGGGGTGTGGGTGTGTGGGTTAGTTATTCTTTCCTGCTGTGTCTCTGTGTTTCTGTGTGTCTGTTTGTCTGTGTTTCTGGCTGTCTGTGTGTTGTACTTACAGGATGGAGATGAACCTTGGTGTGGATCCACAGGGTGCATTACCTTGCTTTATGACACAGGTCTTTCACTGGTCTCAGATCCCTGAGCTAGCTATGGTGTCTGGCCAGTGATTTCAAGAAACCCCAGCTCACCCCAGATCAATAACTAAAATGTCCTTGAAATCATTCTGTAACCATTTCCCAAGAGGTTTCTTTTCCCTTGGGAGTTTTTGCTGGTGACTTAGAAATCATTTGCACACATTTGTCCAGTAATGTCACATGTACCTGTCCACCCCTGTAACATCAGGCCCTTGAGAGTGAATGGGTACTGTTGACTCAGAGATGAGATATTGCTCAAGATTTAGGGCTTGGGAGCTTGACTGAGTTAAATATGGTGCCTGTGGGTGTTGGGATTGGCCTAGCCCTAAGATAACATAGAAGTCACTTAGGCTGCTGTAAAGCACAGGTGACATCACACCTAAGAATGGGTTTTATGCTCTAAAAGCAATGCTCAAGATTTAGGGGAGAATATCGTGGATGAGTAAAAACATAACTTCCAGGAGATAAGGTGGAGCATCTTATCACCTCGTTCCTTTGAAGAGGTGAGCTGTGTGTTAGACTTTCCTGGTTTTTCTAGTGCTTATCAATGTGCACAAGGCTTTTTGCCTACTACAGACACACACTCATGCACTCATCATTCTGAGTCCATTTAGTGGTGCTGGTATGTTCCTGTGTTTATGGTTGACCACTTGCAATTGCAGAACCTTTTGGAGGACTTGTCATTGGAAAATGCTAATTCTCCATCTCTCTGCAGCGACCAGGTATTGAATGCTCTTTAAGTAGAGACACGGCCTTATAAAATTTCCCCCATGACACTGGCATATCAATTGGTATTGTCATTGTGCAGGTCTTCCTTAGACAGCCATATTGTCAAGGTTTCATGGGTATAGCACCCCTGTAATGGTGAGAAGACACTGGCATTAAACATCCTGGTCCTCTGCCTCTTAAAAAAATCTTTCCATCTGTATCCTGCAATTTTCCCAGAGTGCTAGACATAGGGATTACCTTGTAGATGTATCAGTTGAGGTTAGGCACACATGGTCACCTATTATCTGAATATTTAACAAATATAAATCTTCATAACAATCTCCATTTGCTGAAAAACAAAATGAAGTCCTTCAATGAATGAATAATGAGAGTTGTACTTTATTTTTCTTATCATCTATCTATCTATCTATCTATCTATCTATGTATTTACCTTTACCTTACCTTTCTTTCTTTTTTCTTTCTTTTATTTTTTTGGTAGACGTTTTCCCTTGTCTTAGTTCTTGTACTATTGCTGTAATAAAACACCATGACCAAAGTAACTTATAAAATGAAACATCTTTTTGGTGGTTTAAGAGCAGTTTTGATAGGTTAATTCATGACCATCATGATAGGAAGTGTTGTAGCAGGCAGGCAAGCATAGTACAGGGGCAGTGTTTGAGAGTTTAAATGTGATTCACCAGGTAGAGACACAGAGAGTGAGACCAGGCCTGTAATGGAATTTTGAAAGCTCAAAGCCCACCACCAATGACACACCTCCACTAACAAGCCTCAGCTTCTCCAATGAAGCCACACCTCCTAATCCTTCCCAAACATTTCCACTGACTTGGGGAGATAGCATTCAAACATGAGCCTATGGGGTCCATGCTCACTCAAACAACCACAACCTCCATCTTTTTCTCTTTTATTTGTGTCTGTGGTGTGTGTGCGTGTGCGTGTGCGTGTGTCTGTGTGTCTGTGTGTCTGTGTGTCTGTGTGTCTGTGTGTCTG